AAAAATTTTCCTGTTTATTAGATAAACTGATTATAAACATTTGATATATAAGTATTCAGAGACATTGTTTTCCATAATGCTCATTTTTTTTTAAAGCATTAGCGTGCCTCCAGATTTGTGTTAATTTTAATGAAAACGTTAAGATAAAATTTCTAATGTAAGTAAAAGAGTTGTCAAGCATAGAAATAAAGTAATTGATTAAACTTCTATACTACCCTCAGCATTGATCTGTAACTTGTCAAAAAAGAGCAAAATATATTTTACGGCATTAGTAACAGGGTGTTAAAAATGGTAAATTCTGTCATCATCAAGTTTTGAATAAGACACTCAAAGTTCCATCTGGATTTTAAAAGTACAGTGTATAAACATTTGTTAAACATTGTACTATGACTATAATTTTTTAAGTTAGTATTATTTTAGACTTATCTTGAGGCATGGCACTTTAAAATTTAAAACAGAAAATTTAGCCTTGAATCTGACAGTAATGAAAAAGCAAAAAGCAAAAGCATTATGAATATTTCAGGAGTTCCACTGTACATAATTCCAAGCAGTGTGATTTATGACCCGCCGTTATTGTGTGAGTTTCTCCATGACAATAAGATTACCCGCATGTTGTTCACACCTTCTCTCTTAGAAGCCGTGCTCAACACCCCAGACATCAACCTTGAAGAAAAGCTAAAAAACATGAAGTAAGAATTTAACTGACTATATAATTTGTACATGTAATCTGTTACCTGACATTACATAATTTGATAAACTTTTGAATTGTTGTTCAGTTTTCTTAATTTCATTTTCTGGTAAAATATTCTAAATTTTGAATTTCATGTAGTTTTCAGATGGTCATGCAGAGATTTTCTTTTTTTCTTTTTTATTTTTCAAACAAAATTAAATGTGTAAATATAATAAAAAAGTGAGATTTGATTGGTGGCTATTTATAGCTGCCCAATCATATAACATGTGTTGATTTTGTTTTGCTAACATTTCTTCTTTTTTTTTTTATGCCCCCACAAAGTGGGAGCATATAGCGTTGCACTTGTCTGTCCATCCGTAAGTCCCGAAATCTTGTGAAGATTTTGCTTAAACTTCCAGGGATGAACAACCTTAATGTGTAGATGGTAGTTAAGGAAGGAATTTTTGCTGCGACCAAATTTAACAGAATTATGGCCCTTTGTTGATTTTTTCACTATATACTATGTAGAAATTTTGTGAACGCAACTCCTCTTAAACCGGATGGCAGAATAATAATGTGATTTTGCTTAAACTTCCGGGGATGAACAACCTTAATGTGTAGATGGTAGTATTTTTGCTGCGACCAAATTTAACAGAACTATGGCCCTTTGTTGATTTTTTCACTAGATACTATGTAGAAATTTTGTGAACGCAACTCCTTAAAAAAATTAAACCGGATGGCAGATTTTGCTATATGTATGTGTCAATACATCGTCGGATACCCACGGCCGAACCATTAACATTTATCATTTATTATTGATTGCATGTTATGTGACATGTTTATCAATCGTGGGTATCCGACGATGGTGTCAATATTGTTTTGTTAATTTTTTTTTCTTCAGAACTATAATATTTTGTGGGGAAGTTGTTTGCACAAGTTTGTTTGAGAAATGTTTGAAATTATTGCCATGGATACAGTTCCTCAATCTGTACAGTGTGTCAGAATGTCATGATGTTGCCTGCGAAAATTTGAATGAATATTTTGAAAACAACAAGGTGAATATTTTTTGTCTACACTCAGTAAGATACTTAAATATATCATGATACTGCTGCTACAAAACTAATTTGATATTGCTGCTGCAGAACTTTTTCATCATTCAAAAGTTGCAAGTTATAAGATACACTGACTCCTTCCTTTTTTGATTTGTCCAATGAATTTACATCAGTCATTGTCACCTTACCTGTAGCGCTCATTATGATAAGGTCAGTGCATTCTATTGTTTGAAATTATTGTATTGTCATTATATTTTTCTTAATATATTTTGTATACTTTATATGAACTTCTCATACAGTTTGAATCTTCAGCTGCTTTTTTTTTCATTTTCAGGATGCGTTATTGAGTAGAAAGTTTTGCCCTGTAGGTAAAGTTATCCCAGGTGTGAAGATTGTCATCACTGATGCAGATTTGAAACCTCAACCTGTTGGAAGTTCAGGAGAGGTAAATTTTGTATATATTGTCAAGTCCAGCATATGCTTAATACAACAGTCTTCTGAATATGTTTTTCGATAAAATTTTAAACCTCACATCCACTGATAGTATGAAGGTAATATGGCAATGTTTTGGCATTTCTGGAAGAGAAAGACTTCAGGTCAGCCCATTCAAGGATATTAACTTATGGCAAAAGTACCTGATTCTAAGAACTACAAGCATCATATTAGCTAGTGTAAAATTTGTATATAAACTAAAAAATGATGACTTCCTTCAGGTGGTCATAGAATATACTATCAGATAATTATGTGGCATAACACATAAGTCTGATATTCTCTTTTCTTTTTTAAATCAAACATAAATATTTGCATATGTAAATAACTATGTGTAGTTACGTTTGTTACATATTTTGCACTGAAAAATTAGGTCAGTTCTCTTGGACTTAAAAATGTATTTATGAGCAGATAAAAAAATTGCTAGTTCATATACAAAAAAAAACCCCAAACAAACTAGAATTCATGCAATGTTTGATGTTATATCAAATAGATTTATGTTGGTGGCCCAACCCTGGCACATGGTTACCTGAACAGACCAGAAACCCAAGCTAAAAGGTTTATATCACGACCAGACCTGGTGCCAGAAGAGTGTGGAGATGTCCTGTACCGTAGTGGTGACTGGGGATATATGCTGTCAGATGGCAGTCTAGAGATTTGCGGTAGATGTGATACAATGGTCAAAGTTAGAGGCTACTCGATAGAAATACAGGTACATGTAGTTAACAATTATTGTAAAATGGAACCTCAAATGCAACCAAACAAATAATCTCAAATTGTACCTAAAAAGGCCGTTTGAACACATCTACAGATGTTTCTAAATTCAAAATATCACCATTTTCATGATTACATTATAAATTCTGCTTAAGCCGGTGCTAGAGGGAGTAGATTGTGCCTTGCAAATATAACTACCATCTTACACCAGGCTCAATTCAACCGAGCCTGCACAATTTTTAAATTTGTCATTTTTGGGCATTCTTTTGGGATTCTGTTTTTCTCTATATTTTTTTATTGCTAAATTTTCTAAACAAAATTTTCAATTATTCTTGCTTATGCCTGATGTATAAAGACAGGTCAATATGCAACCTTATTTTGTATTCAGCCTGAAAGACTCTAAACTGTAAGTGACTTAATATTTCAATATTAATTTTATACTTTACTACTTAAATATTACTATGTCTTAAACTTATAATTCATACTTATAATGTAAAGTTCGAAATTCAAAGCATAACAAGACCAAAATAGTACATGTACCGGGTACACAAATATAATAGTAATAATCAAAGTTTTCTGTTGCAGGCAGTAGAGGCAGCTCTGATGGAGTTACAGATGGTACATAGTTGTGTGGTGCTTGTTAAAGGGGAAGAAGGGGAAGATAAATTCCTTGTTACGTACATTGTACCTATCCGAGAAACCACAAAGAAAGCCGTGAGAGAAGCCCTCAAGAAACGCCTTCCCTTCTATATGATACCATCATATTTTGTCTTTATTTCAAAGTGAGTAACTTTAAAAAAACAAAAAAACATGTACATTATCTTAACAAAAAGAGCTTATAAAATCACAGTAATAATAAGTGTATCTAGATAAATTTTGACAGGAAAACATTGATAATGCACAAGTGATTGCATTTTTTTAAGTAAGTTTGATTCTCTCAAAGTTTTACATTATTAAATGCACATTTAATGCATGCTGTAATGCAAAATTTATGTATTATTCCCTTTTTGTCATGAGCAAAAATATATGTTTGATATCATTGAGATAAGTAATAATGTATTCAATTTATTAAGTATAATTATTTTTACAGTACAATATAGCTAAAATCTATTGTACTGTGTAGTACCTTGATAAATTCACTGGACTAACACCACATTAGCATAAATATTCAAATTGAAGGATTTTTTAAATAAATTTTCGAAATATTTATAATTTATTTTTGTTGAAACTTTTTTTTTATTTTAACTGAATGTAAACATTGTGCAAGAGTTTTTCCTTTTTTCTTTTCTCAGAATTCCAGTTGTCCCTGCTACTGGTAAGCTGGATAAGGCAGCATTACCTCCCTTTGATACTCAAGATGATGATGATGTCATAAATGAAGGTAAACCTGTCACACCAACAGAGGTTGCTGTGGCAACGGTCTGGTGCAAAATCTTACAAATGAAGGAGGCCGACATTCATGAAAGCTTCTTTGATCTTGGAGGGTAAAGTGTTTGTACATTTTCACTCTTTTTTACAACAATAAGATAATTTTATGCTAAAGGGGGATAACTTTTATTATACATTTAACTATCAGGTTTCTAAATATTCTAAATTATGAGGGTATAAGTCAACAAACCTGTGGCAACAACACAATTTGAAACTAATGCAGTATGAAGCAGCCAATTTGGTCTGACAATATGCCTGCACCTTAGAAATTATCATTATTGTGGTGTTCTTTGTTCTTTTCCCTTTCCAAGCAACAATTAATATTGATGTCTATTGTTTTGTATTGCCATTATTTATTTACTTCAAACAGTAAATCATATCTTAACTACTTGTATTCACAGTCACTCCTTGTTGGCTACAGAGCTCATTATCGTTTGAACAGCCAGTTTGGAGTAAAAATTTTGGGTCCAGGAAAAAAATTCTCTACCCTACTGTTAGCTTCAGTAAATTATAGACTCAAAAACTTAAACCGATGTTACAAACCCGTTCAAAAAAGCTAAAAACGTAGACTTTTTTGCGAAGTCAAAAAAGCATGATCTAATGTTACAAGTAAGTATTTTCTAATTTAATTTTGTTTTTAAATTAAATAAGAGAAAAAAACTTAACCGTTATTTGTGACCAGAAAGTTTTTTAGCTTTTTCCCAACATTTCAAAAAAAAATTTTATTTTTTGTTTTGATGATCTTTTTTACTTTTTTATTTTTAAAATTATTTTGAAAAAACACTTTAACCGGTTTATCACACAAAATGTAAAATTTTTCGGGATTATTGTTTTTTAAATACATGCACAATTTCATATTTCATACATGATGGTATGAATAATGACAGTCTTGCCCAGTGGCTTTGAATCCCGCCAGGAAATTTGGATTTTGTCGAGTGAGGCCAAGCTATCCATCTTAAGCATGCAGAACATTGATGGTTCTACTCAGGTGCCTGCTGGTGCCTGATTTTAGCACACAGGGGCACCTGGTGTCTTCTTCCTCCATTAAAGCTAGAAAAGTCACCATATGACTTTGTAGTTTCAATAGTGTCATGACTTAAAAACCAACAAAAAAAGAAATCCCCTGAATCCAGGGTATTTATACATGGTGATAAAAACCATGCTGCTAGAAATGTAATTTAAAATATTGTTGTTACAAAAACTTCATAATTATGTATTTCAAATCTTTACTTTTTCAGTATTGATATGCAGTTAAGAGCATTTTGGAGAACATTTGCATATTACAATGAGAAAAGATTTGCAAAGGGGCGTGTCTTACTGACAGGGGCCACAGGCTTTCTTGGAGCATTTATATTGAGAGAACTTAACTCCTGCAAACTAAAGGTTTGCTATAATTAGCATGGATTCATAAAACTATGTAAATAGATTCATTCCAAAGTCAAGAAGATATAGATCATGGTTTATTTGCTTCCATAGATCATTAGCTAATTTTTAAAAACCCATAGGTCAAAGCAATTTTTTTCATATATATAATAGCTAATCTGTTGATTGATCACAGCTTATTTCTGAAAAAAAAAAATTATAGGGGACTTCAATTAAAAAGTTTATCATAGCTGATTTGCTTTTAATTTAAGTACCTGGGTTTCATAGCTAGATCATAAGCTAATCTACTGATAGATTGTAGCAAAGTGCTCATTGTTTCAAACCTCACATATAAATAATTTAATAATATAGCAATTTTTTTTTAAATGTATTCTTTGCAGTGTTATTCATAAATCATAGCATATAATTTCACATTTATAAAGTTTGTGTTTCAGTAACCATGTCATAATTTTTATCATTGTTATTGTACTATTAAGTTATTGCTTTTTGTTCTTAGCTAATTTGTTTCTAGCCATAACTTATTCTTATTTAGTTTCTGATCATTGCAAATCCATGTAACTTCTTTAGTTCGCCCAGATATTTATATATTGAAAGTATCGCTGATATATAAATCGTATCATGGCTACTGCTTTTTTTGTACTACAGTCATGTATTATAATATTTAAAGGCCCATAATGCCTCAGAAAAGCTTCTTTCTTATTCCTAAAAAACCTTTTTATTTTTGGTGCACTTTTATTGTTTCCAAAAAGTTATTGGCCAATTATCTGAACCATCTTTTTCATCTGTTGCTTTTTGGCAATTTGTACAGTAATAGTGATTCAGTATTTTGTATGGAAGTAAAAATACTACTTTTTTACATTTTGCGACATTTATGACAAATTATTTCATATTAATCCCTTATTTCTTCAGTTTACAAGCATCTAACATGCTCTAAAACCATTAATTAAATGTTATAAAATTCATATTTGCCCTTTCAAAAGAAGTAAAAATTTCATTTTTTCTGAGGCATAATGTACCTTGAATAACAAAATCTTACTGATTTTTGTAAGAGATAAAACTAATTAAGATTTCATGCAGGTATAAAATTTCTTTTTTTCCAGTGAAATATAATTTACTTATTCAAATACCTTTCATCTTGTAAAACACAGGTGTTTGTATTTTGCCTGAGTAGACAGTTACCGGACGCCGACTCTATAGATAGACTAACAGCAGCTCTGACAAAGTTCGGCATTCTTGCTGAGAAAGGAGAGACCCCAAATGATGAACAGAAAACCATGCAACAACATTTTAACAAAAGAGTAGCCATATTGAAAGGTGCGTAGATGTTTGTGTTTAAAGGCCCATATACCCCAGAATTTTTTTTTTTCATTTCACAAAAGATTTTTATTTTTGGTGTATTTTTATAGTTTTAAAATAGTTATTCATTGGCCAATTATCTGAACTATTTCTTTCTTTTATTGCATTTTGGCATTTATTACGTTTTTTTTTTAGTTTTTTGTATGAAAGTCAAAATACTACCGGTACTTTGTTTATATTTTGCTAATTTATGATAAAAAATTTCACTTCAACGCCACTTTTTTCAGGTGATAAGCATCTAAACATGTTCTAAACCAATTCTTTAAACTAAGGGTTTCTGAGGCAGAATGTGCCTTTAAAGAAAAAAAATCTTCCAACATTTTAGCATTTACGATAAATGAAAAGATGACAAAGTGTTGAATGTTATAAAATGTAACAAACTTTAGAGACCAGTGAAAATCTCTGACACTGGAGATTTTCAAAAATCTCACTTGCAATCAACCAATGAAAGGCTTGGTGTGTAAATTAAGAATTTTATTAATTGTACTCATTTTCATGTCTTTGAGTACCATTTATCAAAATTAACCAATGAAAAATCCTCAGCTTAATGAGTTTATTAAAATCTAATTAAAATTAATGCTGTCAGAGGCAAAAAAAGATACTTGTATATTAATATCTGTATTTTCTTATATTTGGTAGAACTATCTGATTTTGTGACCTGAATGTTATAATTTTAGTGGCACAATTCTTTATGATGGACCAGTTCTTTCTCCATAAGAACATTTCTTTTATAAAAGCAGACTTATTTTTAAAGATATTTTTGAGCATAATTTACCTTATTTAATTTCACAGATCATTTTGAGCATAATTTACCTTTTTTAATTTCACAGCACTCAAAAAGGTACACTTATTTTAATTTAATTTATATTGCAGGTGATGTAGCATTAATTAACATGGGACTATCAGATGAGGACTACACATATGCATGTTCTGATATTGACATAGTTATACACGCAGCAGCAAGTGTTAATTTGGTCTATCCCTATAATGTGAGTGAAATAATTTAAATTTGCATGAAACAAGAAGAGAAAGAAGTATGCATCATTACCTGAGTGCCTAACTCAATCACCTTCTGCAGCTTTATTAATAAACATACTTATGCATATATTATTCACAGGCACTAGTAACATAATCAAATATTTTACATAATCGGCCTATATATGTATATAAAGATATTATATACATATATAGGCCGATTATGTAAAATATTTGATTATGTGACTAGTGCCTGTGATATTATTTATACTTTTCCCTGCTTTCTTAAATAGATTCATTCTAAAAAAATTAACAGGAAAAGAAAACAATGTGACTTGAATTAACTGTTTGTTTTATACTATCATGGTCTTCAGTGCTTAAAAATGTCCCAGGAAGAGAAAATTTGATAGCCTTACCAGGGTCCCAGGTTATAAAAAAATCTCATAGCTTAATCTAAGATCTCAGGCATTTGATTGGTTAGAAATTGCCCAAGAATGTACCAAACCAATGAAAGTGATGAGATTTGAGACAGAACTCAGAAAAAAGTTTTATAACCTCGAGGCCAGACCACTGAAACCTGAGTGTACCCATCACATTCTGTTCAGTAGCAGCTCTTTCAATTGTAACCCATTCTTTCCTCTTCAAACTTTTTAGTACTGTGACATATACAAATTATACATGTTATACATGTTAGATTTATGCCTTAGTTTATAATTAACATTTAAGAATTTAAAATTTTAGAATTGATTCAGTCTTATTTTTTCACAACTTTAAATTATATTTTCATAACACATATTTTGTATTTCCAGGCTTTAGCAGGAGCAAATGTTAATGGTACAGCTTATGTGATAAAATTTGCATGTACAGGGAAGATTAAACCTATTCATTACATAAGGTAAAGTAAAATATCAATATGCGGGGCATCTCTGGTACCTTCCCCTGATTTCCGGGACATTCCCAGATATATGGGACATTATGGGTGCTGTATTATGATGGCTTTAGTACATGACTGTACTCTTAAACAATTTTAACTCGTCTTTATTTGAAATGACCTCATTCATTTATCAGTATCTTTGACCTAAAATATTTTTTTCTTGATCTTAATTATTTTACATAATATTATAGCAAAACATGATAATAATCTCTCCTTCCGTTGAATAACATTTGGATATATTTAGTATTCATCATATAATTGTATGAGCCAAAATATTTCAAAACACCAAACTTGAGAAAAATGTTCTAAGATTTTAGGAAAAGTAAAAAATATTCAAGATTCAAGTAATAATTTACATATTATGTGCGATTAATGACAGATTTTTTAGTATTTGTAGCATATTGTAACTAACGTAGTAATAGAGCTATTTTTCCATATTTTTACCTTTTTTGGTAATTTTCATAGGCTGTATGTGCCATTGATAATATGTAAATTGCTTCCTTTTGGTAACTTCACAATATTATATTTCTAAATACATTTTCAAAATTTTCATGAAAATAAGCATGAATCTGGAGGCAGCTGTTTTAAACCCAGTCACATACATCTATGATAATAATATATTACAGCACAGATGCAGTGTTTCCAGCAGGATTAAAAGATTGTAAAGAGACGGATGATGCTGGTTCCTATCATTCACAGCTGCATGATGGGTATTCCCAGACAAAATGGGTCGCAGAACAAATTGTGCAGAGAGCCGGTCAAAGGGGAATCCCTGTTACTATATATAGACTAGGTACATATAACATGCATAATTTTTAAAGATATTTACTCATTAAGGCCAAGACTGTTTACTTGTCAAGGGCCCTTACTCGACTAGACAAAGCTGCTTTTTGTGGCTTAAAAAGTAGATGGACCCCCATTAAGCATAAACTACATACACACATATGCAGATTTTTACATAACTGTTCATAATATTGTATATTTTTTCTATAAATTCAGAAGGTTTTATATTTTGATTTTTCTTTAATATTACAAAAGAGATTCAATTTTCAAAATGTTATAATTTTGTAGAATAAATTACTATTTATAGGTAACATGTCAGGGGACAGTAGATCAGCATGTTGGAACCCCCAGGATTTCACACTGATCCTTCTACAGGCTTGTACCCAGCTCGGTAAGGCACCAGATGTTGACTGGCATATGGAGATGACACCAGTGGACTTTGCTGCCAACTTTATTGTTAAAATGATCAGAAAATCTTCACAGGCCATGGGAAAAACATTCCATATTATCAACGACAAACCATTGCACTCCAGGTATGTTGTGAATTTAAGTTTTAAATATTATTCAAATCTGCCTTTTTCATGTAACGAAAAGTAAAATAAAATACATTGTATGTACAGAACTTCATGTTCAAATATTGATGATGTTTAAGCTAGATTATTTAAATTACACGTATTTTACAATCAAACAGGAAAATTAATAAAAAGAAAAATTATGTTTTCACAATCTCAGATTGAGAAAAAAGGTTCTGAGTCTATTTCAAAATAAATCAGTGCCAATGGCAACAAAATATTATGTGGGCCATATCTCCGGGACAATTACAGAAAAGTGTATTTTTATATATTAATCAAAGGTTTATATGGTTCAACTTATTTATTATAAGATTGAATTTATATTCTTATTAATTTATTATCATTCTAATAACTATTTTAATTGTATTTATTGTAAGTGGTTATTTCAATGTTACAGATGGGTGTTTGAATGGATGAATGCTCACGGTTATCCATTACAAATAGTAAAATTTGACGAATGGAGAAAAAGGTAAAAAGTATAATTTGGTTTAGAGGACCATTACATATAATATAGTTATAGAATATAATATTTAGAACAATTTAAACAATATTTTTTTAATTCTGGCCATTCAAAATTGACTTAACCACATTAAATCACTTAAAGAATCTATAGCTGTATCTAATGTCAAATATCTATATTCTCTTAAAATATATATATATATATATATATATATATAAGTCAACAACAACAACAACAACATAAACTTTATTAAGCTCAAGTCATAATAACAAGCATGTGAGCATACAGCGAATGATACAAACAAAAATACCTTGTGAGGTAAAAAGAAAAAATAATATTAAATTAGGAGGAATTTCTCAAAACAGTTGTACTATACTTTAAGAAAGGTCTCTCTTATAAACATGAATACTGAATTATATGTTTTTTATACAAGTATTTTGGAAGAATTCTTTTTCAAGTTAACATAGATTTTGTAAATTACAGGCTTTGAATTTACAATAATAGTATAACAAACTTGTTTGATATAAAATGATAAAATATATTTGACATCACATTATTTGTTATAATATGACTGTATGATAACATATTATTTATCATATTAATTCCCATTAGTATGTTTTTTTTTGATACAGCAATTAATTTTGTTTGATATCAAATTGTTTTTAATGTAATTGCGACCCTTTTTTTGCTTATTACATTGTTTAATATAAACATGTGTAACTATCAACTTTTTTATTTCAGCATACTTAACTTAAATGATGGCAGCCAAACTTTTCTACACAGACTTATGGAGTCTTATATTACGTAAGATATCTTAATACATGTATATAGAATATATTAAATTTCTCTTTATATTACTTTTTTCCATTTCTTTCTGTCAAAATTGCATCCTTTTCATGTTTAAAATTAATAAAATTTCAACCTTTGTAAATAACATCATTTAAGACTGTGTTTAAACCTAATCAAATCAATCAGAGCACTTGACTTTTATTCATTATAAATACTTTTCCGAAGTTTGTTGGGAAGGGCTTATAGGAGATGTGATTCCTTTCACATTTGAGCCGCGTCACGACAAAACCAACATAATGGGTTTGCGACCAGCATGGATCCAGACCAGCCTGCGCATCCAAACAGTCTGATCAGGATCCATGCTGTTCGCTTACAGACCCTATAACAAGTAAAGAAACAGATAGCGAACAGCATGGATCCTGATCAGACTGCGCGGATGTGCAGGCTGGTCTGGATCCATGCTGGTCGCAAACCCATTATGTTGGTTTTGTCATGACACGGCTCATTTGTCACAAGTCTTTAACGCCAGCATTACCTCCCTTGAATAAATGAATACCATTTTTTTTACCACTTAATTTGTGTTTGAATTTTCAGGAGTTCAGATTTCTTCACAAGTCTGAGCACATACAAAGCAGATAATTTACATACTGTATTATCACAACTTGGTATGGAGTACCCATATGTTGACTCAGACCTCCTTCAAACATACTTCACTAAACTGTCTCAGCACGGCATCATTACAGGACAGAGGTACACCTTCTCTGGAGGTATGCATTATTGATATTATCTAGATGTATAATTATGAAGCTTTTAATAAATTTAACCTTCCTAACTTGTGTAATGGAATTGCCCTGATTTTAAATTGATATTTGAAGGGATTTCAATAACAAAGTTTCAGGTACCAACAGTATATTAAACCGTGGTCAGGCTGCATGGATGTGCAGGCTTGCAAAGTTCTGCGTGTACATATCAGTGGCATTTAAGGCTTAATATCACTTTCAGTTCTTTTAGGTTATGGTTAAGGATAGATTTATTGGTTATTTCTGGTGTTCAAGTAATGCCATTCAGTTTGCACTTTTACACTTTTTTGCTCAATTCTTTTTCATAAAATGATATTATAGTTTATACCATCCATGATCCTTTTAAAGATGGAAAACCCTAAGCTTATTTATACAGACCTTTTTGTAGGATCATGAATTCAGGTATTTGAACATCTGCAATTTTTCTCCAATCATTATATAATATATTATAAACCCTTCTCCAATTGTCTCAACCTAAATTTTCTAATTGAATTAATTCACACTGTAATTGACAGTAACCTTTTTGTATAAATGAATTCAGTCTCATATTATTGAAATTGTTATTCTCTCCAAATTAATGCATTTTTTTAAAATTAAGAATTCACTGGAGGTTAAAATATTCAATTTGAGCATGCATGGTTCTAATTTAAGAACCCATACAAAGGACATAAAAGTTGCACAAAACTATAAATAGCGATAAAATCAGAAATTATTTCTTAAAAGAAAGATGTACAGTTTAAGAGCAGACAATAGTGAAACAAGTGTGTTTAGTATAAGACATGTTCCATCTGGCATATTAATCAATCTGGCATATTAAAGCCTAAATACCTGTATAAGTGACAAATAGAGGATATTTGTTTGTTTCAGTGTAAGATCGAAAAATATTTTACCGAGTGAACACCAGATGCAATATTTTCCACAAGTGGCGTAGCCACGAGTGAAAATATAATAGCTGGGGTTCACGAGTGAAATATTATTTGATCTTACATGTAAAACAAACAAATTTTCTGTTTATTTCATGATTTTTCACGATTTTTACACCATTTTACTGATTTTTGCTCTTATCTTCATGGCGTCATCAAATAATGACGTCACAATGTTGAAGCAAAATATAATTCCATGATTATTTTTAGATTTTAGATGTTTTTCAGCACAACGTTCGTAAATATTTACGAACTACAGTTATCACGTACATTTTTTATTATGATTGACTACATTTCCGCTGAAAAAAACATTCATTAATGATAAATATTTTATTTTTACGCCAAATATAGTTCGGCCACTGTGAAATTATATTTGGTAATCATTACTGTGAAATTATCAGAATATAATTAACCGTTATAATTCAGTAATCTACTGCAAAACATGTAATAAATTACTGTAATTCACCAACTTTAAAATGTTTAATTAGTTTCAGAAAGGTTAAATAAAATTAAACCTTAAATAAATTGATTTTTTCCCTTACTCTATGTATCAAATCAATTAAACCTCCAAGAAAAACATTTTTAAAACTCCTTCAATTTTCTACTTTTAAGGGGAGGTAACCTGTATAGTGTTCAGTAAATGTAAAACTTGGGTTAACTCTCCTTAAAAAGGTGAAGTCAAGGTCATATACATGATAAGAGCATTTACTAATTTTGTATTGTACATGAAATGTACTAGCTACATATTGTGTATTGAAATATCCTGTACTTAAGAAAACTTGCTGGACAATTTGTGAGTCATGGCTGACAGTGATTCAGGTAAAGAATTCCAAACCAATGCATTTTAATGTTTAAATTTAAAATGCAATGTTTTTCAGTTTTACTTTCAGTTTGCAGTTTTACATGTATATAGTTATACAGCTGTTTATGACTACATGTATACTTGAGCAAATCAACTCAGCAAAAGATTTCTTCTTTGGTAAAGTTTCACTTGATGCAGGTAGTGCAGGTGATTTATTGTGTAAATATATACAAATTATGTTTAAAATGTTGAGATATATATACAAACTACCTATTTTTTACAGGTAAAGTCCTACAAGGCAAGGTTGCTATAGTAACTGGGGCCTCAAGTGGAATAGGGAAGGCCATTGCTATGGCATTGGCTGGAGCAGGGGCAAAGGTTGCCATGGCAGCAAGAAGGGTGGACAGGTTACAGGAAGTGGAATCTTCTATTGCAAACAGTGGGGGTGTTTCAATATCTGTGAAAACGGATGTCACACAAAGAGCAGAGGTAGATTCCAATTGAATATTTATACACAGTTAAAGAAAAAACACGTTGTACTAATAGATTGCCTCTGGTGGACAGGTGTTTGGAGTCCAGTTTTGTCTGGAGCAATTATTCTACATGCACAGATGGATTTTAGTATCACTTGATGATTTTATGTTCACCACTATATGTATGACAGGTAATGTTGCACAAATGAAGCAGGCCTCTAGGTCAAAGGTCAAGGTAACACTTAGAGGTCAGAGGACTTATTGTCCAGCTGCAATAAGGGATTTTTAATATTACTTGGCACAAATGTTCACCATGTGGAGCTAAGTGTCATATGTTAAACTCGGGTCACTGTAGCTAAGGTCAAGGTCATAGTAAAAATTTAAAAAAATGTGTGCTGGACAAATGATTAATTAGTCTTGAAGTGAGGGATTATACAAAATGCTCACAATCATGAGATTAAGTCTTATCAGAATAATTTAGGTTAATATATGGAAGGTCACAAAAGGTAGTGAAATGTCGAGATTTTGACCAGAGTAAAATATCCTACATGCATGGATAGATTTTGGTTTAAATTAATTCAAATGTCCACCATGTGAGACTTATTGTTGTAAACATGAACTGGGTCAAAGGTCACGGTCACTGTGATGATAAGGTCAGAGGAAACTGCTTATATGGAGCAAATCGTCTAAATGCACTGAGGGAATTTAATGTAACTTGGCACAAAATTTAATGTTCAGCATTATGCGGAGAAGTATTGTTCATCAAGTTCTATGTCAAAAGTCAGATACAAAATGCAAAATAAATAGTTTTATGGTATATAGAATGTTTTGAATTTGGAGATCGTATCACAGATGAAAGAAAAAAGTTCAAGAAACCTGTTATATAAAGACTACAAAAGTGACATCTAGGACCTCTTTAATTGTATGCATTGGTTAACAGAAACTGTGTATTATATGATGAGAAATTTATGTTTTTTCAGGTTAAAGAACTTGTTCGTCACACAGAAATGACTCTAGGTCCAGTAGATATACTTGTAAACAATGCAGGGACAATGTTTTATACGATGATGAAAAATCTACATGAAGACGAGTGGGAGAGGCAAATAGATGTTAATGTAAAGGTATGTTCATGTTGACTTGTGATTAGTTAAAAAGATTTTTGACAGGTTATATGTCCTAGTATAGGTTGTTGTAAGCTTATATTATCAGAGCCACAAAGCAAGTGTTATGTTACAAACAACTATTTGTTGTGGAACATATAACCTGTTCAAAATCTAACAAATTTATAATATGGTACAATTTGTTTGGAAAAAAATGAAATTTATATAAAAATTATATGAATGTCACTATAATAATTATCTGCTGAAAATGGATATAGTTTGTTGCCCTTTGGTACTGCTGTACTTAATATTTCTACAAATTTGTGAGTATGAAAAGAACTTAGGTTCATAGACTTATTTATCTAGCATTAATATAAAGTACACATACTCAATCTTTATTAGATAATTATATGTAATCTGCATGGGAAATAAAGGCTCATAAATAGTGCTATGATGTAGAAGTGTCTAATTTTTCCAATGTGCTAAACTCAATAGGATCAGAAGCGAATACACACTGCTCTCGCGACTTACCACATATTACTGGCGCCGGTGCGCGGAGTACTATAACTCAAATGTAGTATAATAAATACAAGTGTAAAGATAGTCACAACTATATGCATGATTTAAAAATTGTCCTACCTCTTGATAATAAGTTTCTGTCAACAGAAAATAAGGTGTATTAATATTATTAAATGAACATTAAAGTTAATGTTCTGCACAAAATATTGCAGGGTGTTACAAATGGTATTGGTGCTGTGTTAGATGGTATGCTGAAGAGAGGTAAAGGTCATATTGTCAACATGTCGTCTGATGCTGGCAGAAGGGTAAATGCTTTAAATGATTTAAATCATGCAATTAAAGATTGATAGCTCTTCTACTCTGATGCTTACTTTGTTCCTAAAATAGTAGGTGGAATACCATCACAGGTCTCTCTCTTAAAGACTGTAAATCAGTATTGGTGTGACTTAAAACAAAACTTATGAAAAGTCCAGGGTTACAAGATTAATATTTATGAAAACAAGGCTTATAACAATATGAAGGTTTGGAACTGATCTTGTCTGTTCATGAAGATTGCTACAACTTCCCCACTAATTTATTATCACTATCTGGATTAAAGGAAGGTTTTTTTTTTTAAAGGCATTTATATTTATTATGAAATAGTACACGGCACTAAGGGCCTCATAGTGTTAGAGTGACCGCTCAGTCAGTCTACAAATATTTAACGGAACAAAGGCTGAAGTCTGTTCAATGGTTGGAGCTAACTGGGTGGTTACTTTTATGTTATGATGTCCGAAGTACTGTGTGCTATTTCTTATATTATATCACACTTTATTAGAACATCATGGTTAAAGTTCAACGAGCAGGAAAATCAAACCATTTACAATAAGTAACAAAAATTCTAGTAAAATGTATTGAAAACTGTTGTCAGTCAACTTATATAATGAATGTTTCATAACATATTCCTCACGGTTATACTCCGGTTAACTTTAAAATTTAGTGGTTCGACAAAAACAGGCAAGCAATCACCATACATTTTTTGTCAAACAGATGATGTCATTACAAATATTACAGTATTTAAAGGCCTGCTAACACATATGTAGATAAAGACGGAAACGAACTAACAACTCTCTTTTTCATATTATTGCAGGGTTTTTCAGGTCTTGCAGTGTATTCAGGAACAAAGTTTTATGTTGAAGGTTTATCACAGGGATTGAGACAGGAGCTGGCAGGGTCCGGCATCAGGGTCACATGTATACAGCCCGGGGATGTTAAGACCGAGCTTCTTCAACACACAACTGATACAGAGGTAAATAGTTGATAAAGGAAAATTGTTTAAATGCCCATTATGGTTCAGAAGTGCTTTTATATTTATTTTTCAAAAGTTTTTAAATGTTGGTGTTGTTTTATAGTATCCAAAAAGTTACTCATTGGCTAATAACCTGAACCGTTTTTATCATCTGTTGCTTTTTTGGAATAAGTATAATAATAGTAAATAAGTATTTTGTATTGAAGTCAAAATACTATTCTGTATGCTTTTTACTACTTTTATGACAAATTATTTCACATTTACCAGTAGTGTCTTCAGGTATCACACATCTAAACATTCTTTAAAACTAATATTTAAACATTACAAAAGTCATAATCTTAAGAATTACAAAATTATTTGTTTCTGTGCCTTTAACCTTCAACCTGCTGCAACTGGTCACAGATTAGATTTAGATTTTGGTTAGATTTTGCAACTAGTGAAGTCATCATGCACATTTGTGTTGGTAGCTTATTTTTATGCCCATAGATAAGGTGGGCATATTATTTTAAGTCCACCTGTTTGTCTGCCTATCAGAAATAATAAATTTAACATTGATAATAACATGAAAGTACTTTCACCTGCAGTCTCATAACTTAAAAGGCACATGCACCCTATTCAGAGGTATAAGCATTTTACTTAAAGTAGCCAGCATATCATTCTGTTTAGTCAGACCAGGCTCTTCACAGTCAACTTCATTTGGATATCCCCAAAATGGATAAAAGTATAGATAAATGACAGTTCCAAAAATGGAAGCTGAATAAGTCCACATTAGAAATTTAGCAGGTTATTGGATCATTTGTATGCCTTCAGAAATAGAAATTTGTTTTTGGCTTTATCATTATGTGAGAATTAAGCTATCTCAATGTTTTTGTTATTCAGGCGAAGGAGAAGTTTGATGGAAGTGAAAGTCACAAGATTCTGGAACCTGCAGATATCGCCAATGCTGTTGTTTATGCTGTGTCACAACCAGAATATGTCGGTGTAAATGAGATACTTATTGAACCAAGAGAAGCTCCGATATGAGCTATAGCTGAATGTTTATGAACTGTGAACTAATGTGTATGAACTATGAAAAGACATGCATGGACAATGAACTATCTAATTGAATCATGAAACCAGATTGGAGGCCAGGGTTTATTTTTTTCTCTCACAAGTCATATCATTTTTGTTCATATCTGTGATATACATACAAAGTATTGTTGGTTGAAAAATGTATTTTTTTTTCCCTCTCTTGTGTAAACAGAATTTTTTCTTTACTTTTGTAACAAGGTACATTTTGTTATATATATATATGTTAGGAGCTTAGCTTGTGAAGGAATTCTTACTTAACTGACACTGAATTCCAATTGTAATGGTCTAAAAACATTGACTATTATCCAAGGAAAAGCGGCATTAAAATGATACTTTGAGGCTCGAAGTATGAGACCCATCATTGTCATGAAACCCATGATGTTTACAGAAATGCCTACATTAAAGCTTCACAAAAATGAAAAATTATACGTAGCATTCTTTTGATTCTGTTCAGAGGGGAATTCCAAAAGTTTTCATATTGATTCTTAACTGGTTGGGGACCATCAACCAGACAGTTTTAGAACATTCAGAACAGTTTTCCATACAGATTCCACAATATTATTTTAGAGCAAGATACATGAAATTTTGACACAGTACAGTTTTTCTCCATTAAATAGCTAGTTTGTTTGTTTTCCATTATATTAACACTTTGAGGCCCACGCAGGGGGTATATCTAAATTGTCCACACTACAATAATTGTGTCTGGACAGATATTTATGACTTTTATCTAATCAAGATAATGGCCTGGGTGTTTTGTTTTTACTTTTGACATAAAATACAAAATTCCAGCTGCATATGAGCCAGTTCTAAGTGTAAGAGGTCAGGTATTGAACTCTTGACGCAAGAATTTTCAATGTTAATATCTTATAATAGACATAAAACTATTATCTTTTAAGAAAGTTGAAATCAATTTATTTCTTTATAATAGAAAAATTATGCATTTATTGTTGATAAAAAGGCAACTGATTTATTGACAAACACTTCACAAAGGAAACACCAATAGCAGGCTTTTTTGGGGTTCTCCTGGTTTGATGGTCCCTTAAACCAGTACACATAAAGAAAAAAGATTAGTTGAATGATACAGATAAGAATTCTAGAAAGGATATATTGGTATAATGATAAGAATGTAATTAAAGGGTAATTGATATTATAACAGATTTGAATATTTGAAAATGTTTGATATACATGTATGTAATATCATAATTTACAGAATTCCTCTACCAATGTGTTCAGTTACAGGTATAAATATCAACATCATTGTCTTTATGCAATAAATTATTATAAAAACAATTTCCAAAAGTACTCTTATCATGTCATTGATCCCCTGTTCACATTAATTTACTGAATATACAAATTAAGAAGAATTTAAGGCACAATAAGTGATGGGATAACCTTAATCTTTGAACTTTTTAAAACTTCTCCTGCTTCCCATTTAACAGGAACGTCTTGCTTCTCTTTTTCAAGAACCATCTCGAGTACTAAAGCAATGAATGTAAGTTTCTTGATCAAGGAAACAATGGCTTGCCCCCCCGACAGGGTTTGAAACAAAGCGGTCAGCAATCCTTAGATTACTAGTCTGACGCGATAACCACTCCATGCCGCCACTTTAGAATAGCAATATTTATGTTATAACTAAACTATACTGCTTGTAGCTTCTAGTATACTTTAAACCACATTTGGCAATTACCAATCAACCAGCACATGTGTAATTTGAAGACTCCTGGTTAGATTTTTACCCAAATTCCCTCAGACATCAATTTATTAGTTTTAGCTGAGTTTTAGTTGACTAAGACAGTAAAAAGTCATATTGTGACTTATTTTTCAAGTGTTGCTAGAGGAGGAAGACTTGGCGTATATCAATTGTTTCCGACACAAGCTGGAACCAGAGTAGAACCATTCATATGCTAGCTGGATAGCTTCCAAACATGAAAGAATCCAAATATAAATGTAAGATTTAAATGGGGATATAGTTGTACATGTAGCAATGAAATACAGTTGTTTGTCTTTCTAGTCCACCACATAAGCCGCATGACTCAAATCTTATCATCTGTATGTTGAATGTATTGGATATAATTATGTAAAATGAGAAGAAAAAACATATGTCATGATAACTCAATTAATCATAAAAACATACAAGACAAGAAAACAAACAAAATGGTCACAAAATAAAAGAATTTTTTTATTTAATATATTATGTATATGCATATTGTCATTCAAAATAAATATATAATAACAAAACAAAACAAAAAACATACAGAAAATCTATACAATAGAAAAATGCAATTTAAAAAAAATACTCTTATTTCCATAATACAAATATCACAGGCTTGATAGGTAGATGTAAAATAAATCATTTGTGTAAATAAACTAAACAAACACTGATACAGTCAGCAGTATAGCATGCATTAATACTTATTTTCAACAATGTTTAGCTATCTAATGTCTTAAAAAATCAGCCGTAAATTCTGATGCTATGTATTTCCTTGTTTTTTCTAATGCACAGCATAATATTTTTCTTTTATATATAATATTCAGCCATTCTGTCTTTGGATAAATCAGTCAAATGAATGTCTTAGATGACACTATTAAAACCTTTGAATACTAGCAGCAATAATCAATGATCCATTCCAATTGTCTAGAAACAAGTATTCTTAGTGTCAGCCCCTTTTTTTTCAAAAAGACCCCCAAGGTACTTTCCTTCCAGAAAATCTTAATTTTCAATTAAAATTGTGAATTTATTTAGAACCTTTCTTGCCATGCAAAAATCAAGCAAAAAAGGCATTTTTCTAAATACTTCTTTAAACTGATGCTAGCTTATGAAATATCTCTGGCAAATAAAGTTATAAAAAATAAACCACTATTTCCACTATTTCAATGTTTATGATTTGCTGAATTTCTGTTGTCTTTTTTCTTCAATCTGTCTCTGAAATTCTTCTTCCTCTTTTTGTCTCTCTTTTAAAGCTTTTTGTCTCTCAGCTTCTTCTTCTTCCATCTGTTTCTGAAGGTCCTTTCTCCACTGTAAGTGAAAAAAGACAAGAAAATTACATACAAATTAGACATTTGACACTGATATCCCACCCAGTAATATGAACTGAAAGCAGCACGCCTCCAGATAATATTCATGAATTTTTTTTTAATGTTTTCAAAAGTTAAATATTTCCAAGTGAACAAAGAAAGTGCCAGGTAATTTACACATTGCACACAGTACTAAAACTTTATGAAAATTACCAAAAATAGGTCAGACTTTGAAAAAATAACACTTTTTCCATTAGTCATGCTATAGAAATATGGAAATAAATTCAATACTGTACATGCAGCTTTAAAATTTGCCAATAAATATAATAGCCTTATCATTTTGAAATTTTATGGAGTTTATATTGGTAAAATTTTATTTTTTTTCCAAAAGAAAATATTACTTTTTTGTTCTGATTTACTTAAATGGAACCAAACTTTAGATTTTGCATGCAAGGTTTTTGTTGTTCTGGGGCACAATTGCAAAAGGAAATGAAAAAGAAGGCCTTTTATCACTTTTTAATCATATGGTCACGGTATACTGCGAATTCACTTATATTCGTGGGCATGAAATTTCGTGGTTTTATCAAAACGGGCATTTTCGAAGGTTCTTAAATTCGTGGATTTTCAATTTCTTGTATAAAGATTAAAGATTAAAATAAATAACCTTATGCAAGTAATCTTACTCTTAATCGCCTCGCATTTTACTAACCGCATGTACATTATCTTTAAGTATCGCACAGCGCATGTCAATCAATTTAATCCTTGCCTCTGGACATTCATTACACAAAAATCAGCGGAAAAGCGCCGATGCATGTTTGTAATATATCAAATAGAGACATGGCGAGAAGTATTTGCTGGGATAAAATTTCGTTGGATCTTAAATTTGTGGATTGACCTACCCACGAAAACCACGAAAATTCGTGCCCCACGAATAATAATGATTTTACAGTAGCTTTAATGGTTGAGGACTTTAACCAGTGACTTTTTAAAGCTTTTACACAATAGCTACCACAATGGAAGAACTGAATGGGTAAAAATTAAGGCAATTGTCTACATAAGTATTCATTATATTAATTAAAAAAAATAAAGACATTTATAAAACAATATTGGTCTCAGCAGTGTACACACAAAAAATTAACATAATATATGTATATAATTCATGAAATTTCCCACAATCAATTTTACATTTTATTGATGGGAGTAAAATGAAACAGCAGTGAACATTTAGATTATATATAAGATTATTTTACCTGATCTTCTACAATTCTTCTCAAGTCAAAACTTGTTCTTGTATTGAAGGAAGGTGATGGTTCATACAGAGCTGTTGCCAGCATTATTTCCTCCCTGAAATTAAATGAAATACGACTCTGTTTAATTGAAGGTTAATATAAAGTTAACAATTATAAATTCAAAATGATTGAATACATATCAAGATAAGGTCTGTTACAAAGCCATTATATACAGTCAAACTTTGTTTGCTCGAACTTGCAGGGCCTGTGCAAATTTGTACGAGAAATCAGTAGTTTGGGCCAACCGAGGTTGAACAATTATCATGTATTTTAACTTATTTTATGAAGGACATAGGCCTGAAGGTTTTCGAGTTTTATCAAAAATTGAATGTAAGCATAAGTTATCTTTACAGAATTGGTTAGTGATATACAGTGAGTGATATATATCAAGTGATATACAGTCTGTTATATATAGATGGCAATATACAGAGTGATATACACTGAAATATATTCTGAATCTGTGAGTGATATACAGTGAAGTGATGTAAAGAGATATAATACAGTGATATACATGAAGTGATATACAGTGAGTGATAAACAGGGAGTAATGTATAGTGAGTGATATGAAGAGTGATATATAGTGAGTGATATAGTGATGTATAGTAAGTGATAAACATATAGCAATATATAGTGAGTGATATAGTTACATGGAGACATGTATAGTGAGTGGTATACAGTTAGTGATATACATAGAGTGATAAACAAAGAGTGATATACAGAGAGTTATATACAGTGAGTGATTTATAATGACTGACTCTTATCATATTTCACTGATTTAACCTTACATTTCATTAATCAGCACACGAAAACACTATACATTTACTCACTTTAATGATGTTCTTGCTTTATGTTTCTCTTTCACTTGAGGCATTGACTCCTGGGAAGTCGTTGTTGCCTTGTTAGGTGATGGTGTTAACTCCCTCCTCTTAGGGGACACATACGGGTCAACAGGGGGAGGGAGAGGGGGTAGATAAATCACAGACAGTCCGGCAGCTACTTTTGAGCCTAATGTGTAAGGATTACACACCAACTGTTTGTTCAGAAATCCTTCAATGTCGGTATGTACCTGTAAGTTAAAAAAAATACATTTCATTTATTTTAATTTTATTTCTTTAATATCTACATTGTACATGTAGTTTATGTAACAGTTGTATAAAATTTTTAACCTTGGTTAACTGTTAGACATGTAGTTATAGCAATCTCAAGTAAAAAAGACAAAATTTATGCAGATTCCAAATAGGGGCAAGTCTTTGTTTCTTTATCAAGTTGAGCAAGAAGCTTTTACATTCACAGTTTAGTGCCAGTTGATTCGTGGAATGGATTTAACATCAAGTCTGTTTTCATGTAAACTGAATGTATGTAATTGCTGCGCAACAGTTATAAATAGTATTTTGTAATTATACAAAATAAGATTCAAATCTTATGATTGTATCTAAAATGACATAATTCTTCACAAGTAGTACATGTTGTGTTCTTGTGGATTCTGCCTTGTGTTTATGTTTTTATTAGTTATAAATATCTTTTAACTTAAAAAAAATCCAGTGTTGAACAGTTGTAAGAACATATAACCAGAGCTACTAGGCAAAGGTTATATATAACAAACAACCATTGGAAATATAACCAAAAAAGTCTCTACACGAAATTTATTTTACCTCCCCATTCCTTTATGAAATAAAAAAGTCATAAATTTGCAACAGTCATGCATACAGATAGTATTTATATCACAATTATCCAATGAAAAACTTTGTTTCAAACATGCAGCATGATAAAATATCCTATGATATCCCCATTTTCTATGGCTATTTTCTAATAATAAATTTAAATCTTGATGTGCCACTCTTATAGCCTGCAGTCCTGGATAACTTACCAGAAATTATCAACAATATATTACTATAGATACATGCAATATCTAAAAATATCTACACATAGTACACATCTACTGATACTCCTACATGTATATACTAACAACAACAACTTTCAAAATAAAAAAAGATATAAATAATACATGCAACTTCTCAACATTGTGATGGTAAAACTACACAATTGTTTACTTCTACGGTGTCACAACTTACTTTTGGTGCCAAATCCTGGTCATTTTCAAATAAAAGAAATTACATAAACATTTAAGTCTTGTTCGGCTTTTGATATCACTATTTTCCTTGCAAAACTTAAAATAACTTATTATTGAAATAAGTAATGTATTATAGCTGATTTAAATATGTTGTGATAATAATGTTCTGGTTGTGTTTTTAATAAAGTAAATGTTATCATTAGGTCAAGACCTCATGCCCTTGAGCATTGAGTGAAATACAAATTAGGGCTCTAGTAGAATTATCCACCTTCCGAGCTGGTTGTGTTGATTTGATTAACCCTTTCCCCCATGAGCATATTGTGAAAAATGGCCGTTTTCACTGAAAAGCCTCCTCTTACAAGTTCAAACTGCTATGAAACTATGAAAAATGCTTCAATACTAATCAAACTTGGCACAAATGTTGACTAGATCATTGCCTTTGTAACGACATGCTCAGTCTTAAATTTCCTGTTACCATGGCAACGAGGGGACATCTCAAAATTGCCAAAAAATCACTATTTTGCCTCGATTTTTTCCATCAAAATTTATTTCAAAGTGCTGCAACTGCTCAAGGGATTGAGATAGAGTCAAAGGCTTTTCAGCGTTGGTTAAACGTTACATTATGATTGACCTGGGGTCATTTTTAGCCTCTCACAAGTCCAAAATTTTCTTGGCAATGAGGGGGACTCCGCCCCCCTTCAAACCCCCCTAACAGAAGGGGGCACATCCCCCTCATGGCAACCCCCTGATGTATCTTTTGGATGGGGGCGGCGCCTAAAAAAGTGCTCAATTCTTTAAGCAACATTTCTCAAACGAAAACTTATGTTTGGGGCCCAAATAGGATCTTTTTTTCACTATTTGAGGCCTAAAAAGGGGGGGGTCGAAAGTGTGTTGTTTCGCGTATATATGTGGTAAAGGGTTAAGCATCATTTGTAACAGCTAGTATATCAGGGATATACTGGGAGGAAATTACCAAATTTAATGTTCGGAATTCTGTACAAGTATATTCCACTTATATTTTCTGCAAATAACTACCAACTTTTCTCCAGAAAACATCGGTGAAAGAGGTACGATATGAGAAATATTATTGTCAGCCACATCGCTCTTCTCATTGAAATATTCAGGCACATACATGTGAGCTTTATCAGCTTGCAATGTTAAAAGTGTGTGATGGACATTATCTGACATTGAATTTCAAACAAATTTCTCAAAATTATACAATATTTTACAAGCTGGCAGTAAAGAGTTTGGTTAAATGGTTGTAAAGGCTGATCTGCCTCTATACTGATGACATTGGCCAGTCAACACTTAGATATATAGAATTAAAAATGAAGAATTCAATAACCTGTCCAACTTTGAGGGCCTCTAATACACGTTCATCTTTCTCCATGGAGTGTGCCCGCAGTAAGACATTCCAGGCAGCTGTTCTAATACCCTCCTTGTTTTTATCATTAGCCAAACAACGACATATTTTCACCATAGATTGAACAGCACCAAATCTTATACGCCAACTCCAATCGTTCGGACCTGTGAAAGTATTAACAATGTAAACATCACAAAATATTACGATGATTTGTCAAGTTTTCAATTAATTTGTACTCATTATCCATAGACTGGTCTTTATCGGCTAGTCATTACCCCATGTACTCTTTTCTGTGGACTTATTTGAACGTGACTTATAATATTTCCATGGACTTGTCAAAACTCAATAACCTTTCCATTACTCCATGGACAAGTAATAACTTGATGACATTGTAATAACTTACAAGACCTAAAACATCTCCATGGACTCGTAATGAGTCAATGGACTTGAGGTAACTCCATGGATGAGTCATAAATCTATGGACTAGTCATAACTTCATGGACTAATCATAAATCCATGGGCTAGTTATAACTCCATGGGCTAGTTATAACTCCATGGACTGTTATAATTTTAAAAACTTGTTTTAAGTCCATAGACTTGCCATAATGAACTCTGTGGATTATAGTGTGATCCACTAGTGATAATTTAATCTTGTGACCTGGTTCCAACTTAAATGACTCTATAGACTTGTTATTACTGCATGGACTTATGTTACAATTAACAACATTGTTTAGTTACCCCCTGAAGCCTCAATGTACCTCGTGATCAAATAAAACAATTATTTATACCTCCATCCCGAGCTTCACTGACTGCCTTAAAGAAGGCCAAGTCAAGTAACCCTGCACTGTGTAGAGGTAGGTTATTGTAGCCTCTCTTAAAAGGGTCAGCAACATCCTGGTTGGTTCCCATCAGAGCCAGTTTCTGGATCTCTGCACTCCCTCCATGCAGACAAATATCTGCCAGTACATCTGTATATGTTATAGCCACTTCCCAATGCCAACCATTGATACCAGGTAAGTCTGTACTCTGATAAAAAAATAGAGTTCTAGTTAAGACCTTACAAAACAAATTCCAACTTATTCTAAAGCAACTAAGTCCAAACAGAATAAAACCAGTTCCAAACAAATTCTGGAAACAAAAGGTATGAAACAGAGATAAAATGATATGTCTTGAATATCAATAACCAAAAAGAAGTCAACTAAGCACAGAATCAAACAGTTACATGCTTCTATAGAACTTTGGGTGATATGTCCTTATGTAGGATGGTACTGCAGAGAATACAAGAGCTGTCGGTAGGACAGCATGCTCGACTATTCTAAGTGTTTGATATTAAAAGAGCCTTGATAATGTAACATTTTCTAAATTAACAAAAGGGCCAAATTTTTCTTTAAATCCATGTTACGGCTATAGGTCTTCGGGAGGGTCCTATTATGCTCTCAAAGAAGTGCATAAAATTTCAACTTGTTTCAAAGCGAGATGTCAATGGAATAGGAAAATATCTGAGGTGGTATGCAACTTGAACTTAAATTCTTAGTCAGTAATTAGCATTATTATACTCACCCTTGTGACAATTTTTGAATAGTCAAGCCAATACTGACTATCCAAAAATTGTCACAAGGGTGTTTTATTGAGTATAATAATGCTAATTTCCTATGAATACATAAAATTGACTGAAAAAGGTACAAAGGCTTGTTATTAAGATGTTTTATCAAGTAAATCACTGCTTTATTATTATGAATGCATAAAAATGTCCCAAAAAGGCACAAACTCTTCAGTAGTTATGGACAAAACAGCTTACAAGCAAAACTTTACCAGGAATTTATAAGTTGAAAAAGGGGAGAAAAATCAGCCTAAATGCAAGATAGAATTATGGATCTTGGTCAGTGACCTACAATTATGATTCTAAATGCATATGTGAAGTTTTAAATAAATATCTTTAATAGTTATTGAGATATGTAAAACTTGCATGTAAACATAAACCAAGAGACTAAGTAGAAAAGGGGAGATGAATCAGCCTTAATGCGAGTAGAGTAATGGAACTTGGTCAGTGACATACAACAATTATGACCCTCCAATTATGACCCTAAGTACATGTGTAAAGTTTCAAGTAAATATCTTTGAAGACCTTTAACCAAAATTTCTAAGTTTCAAAACAAATAATTCTATAAATATTGCAGGCAGAGTTATGCGATGTTGCAAACTGATAAACATTGTTACTATAAATAAGTATTGTAAGGTTAAATTGAAAATCTCAAGCAATAATTGAGATTTTTGACTTTACAAAAAACTTTAACCAAAATTTCTAAGTTAAAAAGGGGCATAATTCTGTCAATATTGTAGGCAGAGATATCCAACTTGTCAATCTGATGTACATTGTTACTATAAATAAGTATTGTAAGTTTCAATTGAATATCTCAAGCAACAATTGAGATATTTGACTTTACAAAAGAACTTTAACCAAAATTTCTAAGTTCCAAAGGGGCATAATTCTGTCAATATTGTAGGCAGAGTTATCCAACTTGTCAATCTGATGTACCTTGTTACTGTAAATAAGTATTGAAAGTTTCAATTGAATATCTCAAGCAATAATTGAGATATTTGACTTTACAAAAAACTTTAACCAAAATTTCTATGTTAAAAAGGGGCATAATTCTGTCAATATTGTAGGCAGAGTTATCCAACTTGTCAATCTGATGTACCTTGTTACTTTGAATAAGTATTGTAAGTTTCAATTGAATATCTCAAGCAATAATTGAGATATTTGACTTTACAAAAAACTTTAACCAAAATTTCTAAGTTAAAAAGGGGCATAATTCTGTCAATATTGTAGGCAGAGTTATCCAACTTGTCAATCTGATGTACCTTGTTACTATTAATAAGTATTGTAAGTTTCAATTGAATATCTCAAGTAATAATTGAGATATTTGACTTTACAAAAAACTTTAACCAACGCAGACGCCGACGCGGACGCCGACGCGGACGCCGACGCCGGGGCGACTACAATAGCTCTCATATTCTTCGAATAGTCGAGCTAAAAATGAAGAAATATTGGCTCATTTTGCTTGCTGTGATTCTACTTAAGAAATAACATCGGCCTGAGAGGTGTATATCGGCTGTTTAACACCGGTTTGGAGTTTTGATGCGAGTTTTTAGGAATTGACCACAAAGGCCGTAGGCCTGAGTGGTTAATTTTGTCGCATCAAAATGTCAAAACCGGTGTTAAATAGCCGATATACACCTCTCAGGCCGATGTTATTTCGATTCTAACACGATAAAATAATGAAAATCACTTATGTTAATTTTCTAGCGGAAATAACTTCCGGTGCCGATTTTCATATAACGCTGTTCGATTTTCGCACCCTACTGTTGCGAAGATATAGAAATTATTAAACAAATAATAAGAAAAAAACGTTATTTCATCAAGTTTTTAACAATAAAAACTTACGTCGTATGGTGTTTACATCAGTGCCTCATTTATCATTCTTGTATGTATGAAATAACATCAGTTTGTTTATGAATGAGTTGTTTACTTAGGATGATGTCATTACGCTGCTTACTGATTGGCGCCGTTTTGTAAAAATATTTATTAACTGATATGGATCTAATATGTGGCGTTAGTGTATGTGAGACATTATTTCGGTATTGTATGAAAAGAAAACATTATATGAACTGAAAATATAAATAAAAATGCTTTTTATTGTTGCTTTAAAATGCTTTGTAAACTATACAATCGAGGTTGAAAACATAACAGCGCATATACAAGTAGTCCCTAGCCGGTGTTTATTGGCAGTTTAACACCAGTTTTTTTCCTTCTTTGTCTATAGTGACAAAATCATTAATTTTCTTTTTAATTTAATTCTCCATTTAAAAATGGAGACTGCAGACTGGCATGCACATGATCATTCAAGTCTTTTCAATTTTATCATTTTAAACTTAAAACTTTATTCACATCACCCAAACTAAGAAAGAACTGCCTTAATTGTTTCACAGGTTCAAGACCAATACAGAATAGAGTAGGATTAAGTTAAACTTACTGCAGCATTAGTATAAGTTTGAACGGTGCTGGCCTCTGATGCTCGACCACTTGGTAAAGTGGTACCAGCTTCAGCCTGGTACCCAGTCCCTGGTGGAAACATACTCTCCCCAGTTCCTGCAGTTGTCCGTGACCCTTGAGTCATGGCCCTTGTCCTGAAATTATATTTTTAATCCTTTTTACAATAAGCTCATGACAAAGAGGTCAATGAGACAGTGTGCTCTATTGTAAACAGCTCTGTTAAGATTAATAATGAAATTGTATCAAAATTTATTTTTTCTCAGAACACTCCATCAACACTGGAAAAAGGCACATCATTACCAAAATGATTTTTGAGGTAAATTTTCTCTTAAAAAAAGGTTATTATTGGTTAATAAGTACTTATAAGCGTACAAAGAATATCATCTCAGAAAATTTTATGAAAATCAGACATTAACAAACAATTATACCAAGAAAGGAAAATTTATGTTCGAAAGAGGACGTAACTGTGCTTAAATTGATTTCACAGTTCCAATTTGGTGACAAAAAGCATTCCCTTTGATCTTTGATGGTTTCAGAAACAGAACTTATCAAATAGGTGACCTATAAAATTACCGACAAAGAAGTTGCAACAAAAAGATCTAATGTTTTTGTTCAAGAAATCATAGGATAACGTATTTAAGTTCTAGCATATTCATGATCTTTCAAACATTGCCTGAGCAAGTGTTTCTCAAAACAATTATGGCTAAAACACCAATGGCTTATGCACACAAAAAAAATCAAATCAATAATTTGAGCAAATAAAACTGATATTGCAGGTTAAAATATTGCTTTAAACATTTGACTTTTCATTTCATATCTTAATTAAACTACACAATTATTTGCCATGGATTCAATATTATCTAGTTAATACTTGCAAGACGTACGGAAAATTTGAAAAAAATTGTTACCCTGGTGTTGATTTTGGAGACATTTTTCTGACAGGTGATTTTATATCCTCATCTTTCACAGGCACTCCAGTATCAAATGATACCTCTCTTTTTAAAGTTCCTGGACCAGTTGGAGATACCATTTCTCTGTAATAACAGAAATCACAAGTCCATTAAAGTTTTAAAAAAAAATGCCAAGCATCTTATTACACTTTTCTCAAGTTTTGATTTTCTTGAAATATTTTGGCTCATCTGGAGGCATGCAGCTTTAAATATCAGTCATTTGATTTTATCTGTCACTATCTACGTAAGAAATTAACCTAAAAATATGAATGTCTTACTTAACATTAGGTTCATCCTTCTTCGAAGGGGATTCAACATATGAAGGTGATGCTTCACTGAGGTCTGTATCCTTTGCTGACGTATTTCCACTCTTTGTCTTTGCAGAACCTATTATATAAAACAAATATAGGCTTAGATATAGGCTTAGTGTAGTTAAGTTTATTTACTTTTATTTTAGTTTGATTGTGTTTGAAGCTGTAAGCTTATATTCAAACACTCTTGTATCCGTTCCTGGAATCAATCAGTACTAAACACTGAATGTAAAAATTCTTGCTCAAGGAAACAACAGCTTGCCCCTGACTAGGTCCGAAACCATGTGGCCAACAATTCTAAGATTACTAGTCAGACATGTTGACCACTTGACAATGCCGCCACTCATATACTGGTTGGGGACCACCAAAACCGGACAACCACCAAACCCGGACGGCCCCGAAAATGTTTAATTTATTATTTTCTTTGTTCATTGGTTGTCAGTCACTTTTTTATCAACAATACGTGCATGTTTTTTTTTAAAATTAAGTAAATAAATTTATTTCAACCTCTGTAAATGGTAATATTTTAATGTATCTTTTAAGAATGTTGACGTTGAAATTTGGGGGTCAAGAAAGCAATGCCTGACCTCATATACCAGCTATAATTATTTGCAGCGTGAATAATAGAATATCCAAAACTTCAGCATTTGTTGCTGAAACATTGTATATCATGTTAAAAATCAAAACACCCAAGCTTTTATCTGAATTAAATCATGTCATGTACATATCTGTCCGGACACATGGTACTGTAGTGTAGACAATTTAGGTAATTTTGATACCCTCCTTGTCGAGCCTCAGATATAAGTGTCAATACAATCAGAAATAAACAAACTAGTTTGTTAGTTAGGAGAAGAACCTAGCTGAACTCAACTGTGTCAAATTTTTTGGTCTCTAGGTTAAAAATTATGAAATCTGTACAGAAAAATGTTCCAAAAGTGTCCAGTTGATGGTCTCCGACCAGTAAACTTCAATTACAAATTTATTCTCTTTACAATTGATCAGTCTTTCTATTTTTAACAAATGTATCATCAATTTAGCCAATTAATCTTTTTATTACTCACCTAATGTTTTGTTTTTCAATACATTTTCAAATGACATTGATTCCGTACAGATTATTTGGGGAATAATCCCCTTTATTGCATATGTAGGCCAGTAGTGACTAGTCCTGGAATAGTCCATTGTTAAAACCAGGGATTTTGTTTTTTAAGACAACTGCTAAAATGAATGCTTGGAGTTATTGCAGTGAATATTAAAGGCCTATACCTCCAATATAGAGCCATGATAAGTCTGCATTACCATGTATAACAATCTGAACAGGTCTCCATAATGATGTCTGTGTCATTTTCACATTAAGAGATTAAGAGACCAAAGACTCGCATGAAAACAATGCCCAGTTCAAAACTCTTTTTACGAAAAAAACCCAAAAAAACAGCAGAACAAAAACTAATCAGTCAACACTATATAGCTGGGTCTGATTTTTCTGGCTATATACTTGCATTATAGGCAAGTCTAAATTGTCTATAATACATTTCAATGATTAAACCTTCTATGGTAAAGCTTTTACCTGTTGCTGATGTTTTCATTTTCTCCGAGTCCCCTTCCTCACTCCTCTCGTAGATATCACTCAACGTTGGTTTGGAGCTTGCTACACTAGCACGAGATTCACGATCCTTTGGGCTTGTCTCATCACTTGAATAACTGTAACTCTCTGTAAAGAATACAAAAAACATACTACCAAGTTAATAACAAATTTTTCTACTTAGGAAATCCATAGATGAATTACAAAGTGAAAATGAAGTTATTATGAAAATTGATTGGTTATGAAATAAATCAATATCAAAAACTGTCAGAGAATGTGTAACAAAAAATGAACAACATTTAAAAAAGTTCACCACAACTCAACAAAGAATTTAAGTAGAACTAAAAAGATGAACTGATGATGAAAATATAATATTTATATATTTAAGACAAAAATTAACTAAAAATAAATAAAAATAACATGATTATGAATAAATGAAAGAATATTTCATCTTTTATTTGAAGATGGCTTAGAGATGGACTAATTAACTAAGAAATAAAAAGAAAACTATGTGATTTCTTCCAACCAATTCCCTTCACCTATTAGTAATAAAACCAAAAGACTTCGATATACTTTCTTGCATATCAGACAGGATTATCTACTGTTTACAACGGTGATAGAAAAACCTGTCTTACAACCCCCATGTAGGACACCACACCCCTTTTATGAATCAATTGTGTTCTTAGAATGGCGTAATTTTCTTGTTACGAATGAAGTTGTAAATTCATTCTCAGGTAACTGTTTAGCGGAAACTCAGCAGAGCCTTGTAACCACCGTAAACAATTACCCTTGAGCTATATATTATGGTCTGTACCAGCAGCCTGTATAAGATCCTTATAGTACTTAAATAATGAAATTGTCAAGATATAAAACAGACCAATATTTGGAATAAAAAAATAAACTCAGATCTAAAACATCACAAAAAAATGACAACAACAAAGACACCATTGCTGCAGTGATCATAATAGCTCAATTTTTTCTTCGAAACAGATGAGCTTATTAAACAGAACATTAAGTGTTACAGACTAAATGTCATGGCATTGACAAGAGTTAATAAATAAAAAAATATTTGAAACAATTCAGTAACTAAGACTAAAAGGTGTAAAAATGCATGATTAATTCATTAATTCTAACTACAATTACATAAGTGTAATAACTGTTGAATAGGCATTAACAGCAAATATGAAAATTGAAAATAAAACTCTCTACTTTCTACTACACTGTGTTGATGGGAATAAAGACAAATATATAAAACAATTCTAATTGCTTAACTGTTAGCTACTGTAAAATCATAAAATTGTGTCTGAAGTTTTAAATAAGTTTCTGTGAAGTCAAGTTCAATTACATTGCTGTAAACCTATTTTTTTACAAATAAGAATTTTTTTCAGAATTCAACAAAGACGTAAACACATTTTGTTGTTATAGTTAAAGTGACAATATCATATCATCTACTTCACATTCACTGTCTTTTAGAGTGAGAACAATTTTTATTCTAGAAACAAACTCAGGCACAAAAAATAATTTCATCACAATTATTTACAATTTTACAGTAGTTAACAGATTTACTACAATTTTGAACAAATGACAGTGTTATAGGGTACTAAAATAAGTTTGCTTCTTGTCTCAAGCCTGGCTTAAAGGAACCTGCCTCCAGATTCTTGCAAAACCATATGAGAATTCTAAAGTATTTACATATTAATAGTAGACATATTAAATGCATAAACATGTTTATATCTGCAAAAAAGAGAGATCCTTTTAAGTTATGAATATGGTAATGAAAATTGATAATAAGAACTAATTTGACTATATAATATGTAAAGTTCTGAACAGTGTCTCAACCTGAGTTTTCCCCACCATTTATTTGTTCCTTTTTTAATCATAGATATTTGTCAAAAAACTTGCTTAATTTTATACCTATTTGCTAATCCAAAATTTTATCAAATTATTATTTCAATGGTCACATGAGGTAAGAAGCAAACATTATTTTAAGGCCCTAGATGAAAAGTGTACATGTATTTTTCTAGAACTAGTACCAAATCTTAATGTTTTCTTCGTTGATTCAGTGGCTGTAAATCAAGCATGCAGTGTTAGATGAATGAAAACAATGAAATTAAAGTTAATTTTAAAATTTCTCATCACACCCTTAAACATAGTCTCAAGAGCACTTAGTGGTTTAAGTGCTTAGTGGCAGCATGGCCACATCTGACTAGCAATCTAAGGATCATTGGAAATGTGGGTTCAAACCCCATTAGGGGCAAGCCTTTTCACACCCTTATACTTTCATGCAGTCCCATAGAACATTGAGTGGTGTGAGTGCTTTGTAACCACATGGCTGCATCTGACTAGCAATCTAAGGATCATTGTGAGTTTGGGTTCAAACCCGTCTGGGGCAAGACACCAGTTTCTTACACTCATTACTCAGTACTGATTGGTTACAGTAATGGATTCGATAGTGTGTTTTTAAGCTTATAGTTTTCTACACAATCAAACTTGAAATTAAATTGTTTTAATTCTTCATGGTATATATACAGCATAGTACGTGTATATAAAATTTTAAGCCAATCAAAATTCTAGAAATAAATTAATTCCCATTCAATGCCCTTGGATTTTTTTTTTTTTGATGGGGGGTGGGGGGGGTGGTTGGAAAGATAGGGGCAATGTCTGTCTAATTTCGATGCAAAAAGCACTATAAAATGAATAAAATAAAAAAGAAACTTTTAAAGTTTTTAATGAATAAGGAATACATCTCTCTTTACAATTGAGAACTGATTTATATTTCATTTGTCACGTATTAAGCTTTTAAAAATATTTCAATATTCTCACTTCTAAGTGTGATATATTCCTTATTGCTCAAAAACAAAACAAAAATCAGCATTGTTATTCCCATCACCAGAGTTTCTGTACCTACCAGATGTACTCTGCTTCAATTTTTGTTCTAGAATAATAAAATATCACACAACTTATTCCAGTATAATTTGATAAGCTAACTATTTTAGACATCTAAAAGAATAGACAGTAGGAATGACTGAAATCTAGCAAAAGTAATCAACTAAACTAGTTGCTGACAAACTTAAAAATCTTAGAGTAAAACCCGCTAAAATTTTATTATTTTTTTTAATCATTTTTCATTAACAAAGGTATACAAATTAATCACTAGCAAAATGCTTGTTGTTCAAAAATTCTCACCTGAACTTTCTGACCGGCTAGAAACTGGTGGAGATTTCACCTTGTCCCCTGGTCTGTACCCTCGGGCAAGATTATGGAGGGCCCTGAGGGCCATGAGGCTGGATTTGGAGGCTTCTGCCAGGATCTGGAGAGCTATCATACTGTCCACCCTTCAAATTGAGAAAAAAGCATCACAAAACATTAATTTAACATATTATTCACAACAAATTACAACAAATTTTCTCTTAAAAAGTTAAAAGTAAATGGTAAATGAATGAAAATTACATGAGCACCATGGAAATTATTGAAATCTTGTCATCAAAGTAAATATTTAAAAATTTAATCAGTATTAAAATGCAAATCCTTTGTTTTATAGGCAAATGAACACTAAATATTCTTTTTAGCCTAATAATTATTGTACTAAAAGTGAAAAGTATTTTGCTATTTTGTACATGGACAATATTGCCGTCAGAAAGTTAGACATTGGTGTAAACTAAAGTACCTCAGAATCTTCTCCATATGTCATTAAAATATTTTGCCAATTGTCTATTTTTTCTTAATTTTTCACTTTATTTACCTTATTTAAACTTGAGACTATAAATTTCATAGTAAAAGAGAAAATATTTTTATACCAGCTTTCATTTACAAGCCCCATACCACAATGACTCAGGGCTTTCAGGGCTTCTGTGAGGCCCCCACTTAGATGATTTGTACACCTCCATACATCCAGGGCGTGCCACAGGGTGGGGCTGAGGTCATGAACACTACTACTTATTGCCACACTGTGGGCAGTGTGAGTTGTCAAGTCCTTCGAGTGGGCAGTGGTTCTCTTACCAGTATCTGTACTCTTCTGTAGAAAATGAAACAAAAATCTTTTAGGTTTTTTTTCTGTTGAATTTAAAGTCACACCAACATAGTAAAAGTTATATGGCAACTTTCCAGCTTACTGGTAGAGACAAGACCCTTCCATGCATTATTTCAAGCACAAACTGGCACCTGAGTAGAACCCTCAACATTTAATAAGCTGGAAGGATAGCTTCCTCACATAAAAAAATCCAAAGTCCCTGTTGGGATTCAAACCCACAGTGGTGAAAGGCAAGAAGTTTGAAGATAACGACCTTGACAACTTAGCGACAGCTGCCACTGAAGAAATCTTTGTTATACAGCAATTCCTTTACATTAATGGTTTCTAGTCTATAAACTAGCCAGTTATAAAACAGTATGAGTATATTCTTAACAGGTTACTTGTATGACAGTCCATGTAAATTTAATACGAGTACAAGGTACATTGCATAGAAAACAGACCATTAATAAGACTTTGCAAATCAAATATATATAACCTACGTAACAAATAATACATATGAGTAAAGGCCAATTATTTTATTCTTTTAAACCAATCAGATGCATTTCCTATGAGACAGACCACATTTAACAGTATGTGCAATTTTATTAAATTGCAATCAATGCATTTCTACAACACTGTTCTAGAAAAAGTTAAAAGGATGTGTTTGTCAATTTTCAACAGTATGATGCTAAATGACATAATGTTTATCAATTTGATGCTAAATTATACATTATATTTTATGCTCACAAAATTGTAAATACTTCAATATATCAAACATCATTTTGCAACCATCTAATCAAATTCAGAAAGAAAAAAAAAGCATAGACAAGATCACATATAACATACAGCGCTTGGTCTGCTGAGAGCAGATTTACGGACATTGTCCCCTTCTTTGATTTCTCCAGGTTCAAGCTGGGTATCTGACATGATGATTTTACCCACTGTGATGATAAACCTCAGAGAGAGGAGAGCATTTGGATAGGGACTGTACGCCTCCTGACACTCCTGTAGTCCTGTAATATATAAAACAATTAAAGCACATGCAACAAGTATAGGATAGCCAAAACCATTAGTACAGTCAAACTACAAGCAGTGGTTACTCCCCTATCAGTAAGGAAACCACTTTTTATTTTCTAACAGTTTATTTTTTTCTCTTTTTAAATTTTTGATTTAAAGGAACTCCACTGAGGCTGAAAAAGCCTAAAAACTTAATATATGAATTTCATACAAAGATCAGTTGAGGCATTTAAAACAGTATGATCTGCAAAAGATAATTAATAAATATAATCAGAAATAAGATGGAAATCGTATTTCTGTGCTATTTTTAGCTCAATATGAGTGAAAACCGTTGTGATGCTTTTCAATTTTGGGTTATTTTTCACATTTAGAAAAATTGTTCTGGAACTAGAACTCCGCAAGTCGGATATAACTCAAAAAATAAGAAATGCAGAGCAGCAGTTTCTGTGCACTGCACTTCTTATCAATAAGATCTATCATCCTATTAAGTTTCAAGTCTAAAGCTTTTATAATTTATGAGAAATGGCCTGGACAAAAATAAAGTATGAAAATTAACAAAGGGCAATAACTCAAAAAATAAGAAATGCAGAGTACCAGTTCTTATGCACTGCACTTTTTCTTAATGAGATCTATCATCCTATGAAGTTTCATGTCCATAGCTTTTATACTTTAGGAGAAATGGCCCGGACAAAAATAAAGTATGAAAATTAACAAAGGGCAATAACTCAAAAAATAAGAAATGCAGAGTACCAGTTCTTGTGCACTGCACTTCTTCTTAATAAGATCTATCATCCTATGAAGTTTCAAGTCCATAGCTTTTATACTTTAGGAGAAATGGCCCGGACAAAAATAAAGTATGAAAATTAACAAAGGGCAATAACTCAAAAAATAAGAAATGCAGAGTACCAGTTCTTGTGCACTGCACTTCTTCTTAATGAGATCTATCATCCTATGAAGTTTCAAGCCCATAAATGGCCTGGACAAAAATAAAGTATGAAAATTAACAAAGGGCAATAACTCAATAAATAAGAGGTGCAGAGTACCGGTTCTTGTGCACTGCACTTCGGGTCATTATAAGAAGCATGCATTCCAAGTTTGAAGTCAATCCAACTTATAATGACTGACTTATGCTCCTGACAAGCTTAAGGGGACACCGACAACGACGCCGACAACGACGTCAAAAGTAATCCCTATATGTCGCCTTTTTCAAGGCGACACAAAAACCAAGTGAGCAAATGGTCTCAAAATGTGCAAACAAGTTATTGGTCTTGACTTACATGAAATAGAACATTAATCTTGAAACATAATTGCAAGCCATGTCATGTCGAAAAACCACAGTGCAGTCCCTTTAATACTTTCATTAGTTTTTTTCTTAATAATTTGTTAGAATAACTTAAGTTAACATCAGTGTAACAAATGGCCACGATTTTTTATCACATGATTTACCTATGTCTACATTTGAGATATAGTGACAGCACTTGTTAAACTGATAAAAAGTGACCAAACTGGCGTTAAATGTTTGCGATATGGCCTGTCTGTTCCAGGGTTGCTTTTACATTTGTGTAGTAAGACCCAACTTGAAACCTCTTGTTGAATCAATGACAAGTATTATGCTAATGAGACAACTTTATAATATTACCATGGTAAAGGTCTTTTATCCAGGCATCATAATTTATGTGTAAATACATAGTTTCAGATGAACAAGAGTAAAGTTCTTGTAATTTGTACTTTGATTTATATTATCACATGCAGCAAGTGTGACCACTATTCGTGGCCATTTATATAGGGACTTCATCATGACCATTGTTGGACAGAGACCGTTCTCTGAAGTGACCATTTGCTCAAATTAGATTGTATTCTTAACTTAGCCTATGCTAACAAAATTCCAATCTTAGTTCTTTTGACTTAAAATCTACTTGAAACTTGTTTTTTAACATGAATAATTAATTGCAATCATTGTTCCATATTGCTAATTTGTTTTCTTGTGACTTAAAATCAATATTTTTAAATATTGTAATATTGTTTCTCAAGGAGAAAATAAAAAGTTTACCATCTAGGTATGTGAATAATCTGTTTTTAAAGTCCTTCTGTCCAGACAATTGACCTGCCATGTGATGGTAAAAAAGGCGGGAAAATACCAGCTGGCCCATCTGCAAATAAAACATTTTGATATTAACAGTTATTCAAACCCCTTAAATGGGAAAAGGAGTGAAGGTTTGAAGTTGACAATGACTGACATACATATACTACATACATGTACCTCAAGATCTTGCTACATATCATGCTATATGAACATGTACATTATAAAATATGAAAGCAACAAATCAGCAAGGAAAGGCAACATCCCTGCTGCCCTGCATTCCCCAACAATAATACAGAACCACCTGCAAGGCACAAAGCAGGGCATGTAAAAATTAATAATAATAAGTCTGTTGTTATCAACTTCAACAATTGTTTTGACTAAAAGGTGTGTTATTGGTACACAGACAAAGCTTCAAAAGTTGCATTTGACAATAATATCAAGTAGAGTAAAATCTTCTGATAATGAAATATTACATTGTACCATGTGAACTATATATTTTTTGTCTCACAATATGTATATTCTCCTTATTATCTGTAAAGTCACAAAGCTTATAGTAGATTACATTTTCTTGTGTAGTAACACTGTTTGCGTGAACTATGACACAAATATCTGTATCTGATATAACCAGAGTATCAACTCAACCTTTCACCTGCTGGAATAGAAAACTACAAAAATGATAAGCCTTTTCCATTAGTATAGAGCCGGCCTGCACATCTATGCAATCTGGCCAGGCTTCTTTACTGTAGGCAGATCAATTTTAGTATCTTGATATTGAAATCCCTTTGACAATCAATGGACTGTTCCAAATTCAAAGCAGAGTAAATCATGAGACAAATGCAGCAAATTAAAGATTAAATTTTGCCAGCAAGATTTTGCCTCAACTGGGTGAGTGTCAAGTAATTATAGTCTGCTGCCTGCAACATTTTTATGCTCACCTTTAAAAGTTTGATTTCACCAGTTCTGAGGTAAGGTTGATGGACAGCATCTGTACGTAACCAGTATAACATGGTCTCCGCTAGGAAGAACAGTGCTGGTATATGGTACTTCTCTAACGGAGATTGATCAAGGGAGATAATCAAAACATCCAAACATTCTGAAATAAAACAAAAGATATAATTAGAAAAAGTGCCACATATGTTTGATTTATAATCAGAACTAAATACTTCCAATGCTAGATACTAATCAAACCTATGTGTTTCTAGAACGATCTTCAATTCTTATTTCCTTTCCTTTCAGAGAAACTTAAACATATTATTTACTTTAGTTCAATAAACAAGATGTCTACTATTTGAATTTGATACCGTCTAAACTTTGACAAAGGAGTGTTTCATTTCAAACTAGCCTGGGTTCCAGTCTGTTGAATTTTTATATGTGACAATAGTATTGTATTTATGTCTATTTCCCTGAATAAATCAATATGATTTTGAATTGTGCTTTATGCAGCTGTAATATATTACCTTCCTGGATTTTACCTCTACACTGAGCTAGCTGGGCAAGTTCTGTCCATGCCATAGGAAGATTTACATGTTTGCCCACACCTCCATCCTTCAAACCAGCCCTTCTCTGTTATAACATAATAAGACATAACATTAATATAATGTTAATTTAGTATGTAACAACACTTATGAAATAAGCACATTCTTTTGCAAAATTAATCAGCTAAATATCCAGTTAGTCTTAAAAAAAACATAACTCCAGAAATGCTTTTATTTTTACTTCTCAAAAGATTTTATTTTTGGTGTACCTTTATGGTTTCTAAAAAGTTACTCATTAGCCAATTACCGGAACCTTCTTTTTCTTCTGATGCTTTTTGGCAATAATAGTACAGTTATAGTGTGTTACTTTGTTTACATTTTGCTTCTTTTATGACAATTATTTGACATTTTGCATTACTTTTTTTTTCAAGTAACAAGCATCTAGCATAAACCATTATTTAAACATTTTAAAATTCATATTTGCCCTTTCGTAAGATAAAAAAATCATTTGTTTATGAGGAATAATGTGCCTTTGATAAAAATAAATGATAACAAGAAATTAATCAAAGTCAAAGATCACAATAATAACCAAGTAGCCAACCTTGGATCGTTCCAGCATCTTTTGAGCAGATTGCTCCAATTTTTCTTTCTCATCAAAGTCTTTAGCATTGTTGTATTCCTGTACAAAATCTTCAGATACTTCCAATGGATTTCTAAATCACATAAGTTAGCATGTAATTTCTTGAACCTCAAACAATATTACAAACGTTTGTATACCGGTATACATTTATATATGATGTTTCATTAAATTGACTTCATACATGTATTGTGCTAGATCTCTTTACTTATAATATCTGATAGTATATACTGGATAAGGCTATAGACCATAAACATAATAGTTCTGATACTGGACTCCAACCCAGCAAAAAGATCTTTTGAATTTAATTTTTTTTATGTACAATTTATATATATTGAAATGATTTTGAAAAAGTGAAAAAGCAAATTAAGAAAAACCAGGTAGGTACCAAGACCACAATCAGATGATTTCAGTTTAAGCCTCAGACATGGTTAGGAAAGACAACATTAATTCTGAACTCTACATGAAGTTTCATTGGTTTAAACATATTTATTTAAGCTTGATTGCATAGTTCTTGCAACTTATATTTATCACTTTCTAGTAAGCTTCCTGGAACCAACCAGTACTTGTGTCATATGAATAAACATGGTCGTGACTCAATTTCGGCTGGAACCAATGATCCTTGGGTTGAGAGGCATATACCTTAACCACCAGGCCACCGATCTCCTTTAAGTTTAATTAAATGATAAAAAAAAAAATATGTACATGTATTATGACAAGGATATAACTATATTCAGGCAAATATTAACTGGCTTACTTCTTTCGATAAAAAAGATAACTAATTCATTAAGTTTACACAGGTTTTCATGTTTTATGTTTTACACATGAAAGAAAACAAGAGCACAGCATGTGCAGTTAACGCTTTTTAATCACTTTTATCAGTTTTATCAATGTTTATCAGTTTTGCATGATAATAAGGATGCTACAGACTAAGCAATCATAATAGCTGACACAAATGAGCTAAAAATCTAAATAAACAAAATGCTAAAGTTTACCTTGTTGGTACAAGAACTTTCTGGCTTTTTAGGGTCTGTATGTAGGACTGTTTCAGTAATCTTTCCTGTAACTCAAGCCTCTGTGTGTGGGATATAATCCCAAACTTGTGAACTATTGGTATTTTGGTGATAGGCATCTTGCCTCACTTTGTCTGCAAGTCTTTGAACAGTTCTCTTACATGTTCTGTTAAAAATTGACATGATTTATCATTATAAATATAGATATTCTGTTTCAGTACAAAATGTTTTAATTGGATGGTATTTTAATGATACACAAGACTCTTATAATATCTAAAACTATGACAGTGTAACTCAACTTCCAATATACAAACATTATTTGCCTCTTGTGGGAATATCCTAAAAAGTTGGATTTTGGAAGTTTCCAGAATTTTAAAGTCCAGAATTTGGAAGTTCAGTACAAAAGTGATTTAAACACCAGTTGGTTTTTATTCTACTGAGAAGTGTCATCATCATGTTTACATTTTATATGACATATATGTAACAATCTGTTGTGAGGTAAAAAAATATAAAACTGACGCAAAATTCATGAAATACCTTAATCATAGTAGAATGATTAATGTTTACATTTGTACAATGCTAAATATCTTTAATGGACTTTGTCAACCTTTTAACATGGACAATATCCTTTATCATTTTCAGGAAATATTTTTGAAATTTGTTCTGAATAATTATATTAGTGAAATATATTGGCTCCCAAAAAAATGTACATGTGACCCATATCAATATAATTATTCGACAGAATTAACATTATTTACAGTTAATTTGAAATTTTCCCACAGCAGATTGGTATTTAAGGCATTCATACTGGTAGGCAACTTTCCCCGTGCACTGGTAGGCCCAATTTTCT